TGAGCACACTTCATTTTATTCAGCGAGCACTCTGCCCACTGCCAATGTATTTCCTGAGCCCTAGGGGATCAAGAACTTCTAGAGTTAAGTCTCCTCAAAAAAGAAGCACAGGACTTCCCTGGTGGAGCAGTGGTTAAGAATCTGCCTGCTAATGCAGGGGACACGGGTTCGAGCCCTGGTCCGGGAAGATCCCACATGCCGCGGAGCAACTAAGCCCATGCACCACAACTACTGAGCCTGCGCTCTACAGCCCACGAGGCACAACTACTGAACCCACGTGCCACAGCTACTGAAGCCCCTGCACCTAGAGCCCATGCTCCGCAGCAAGAGAAGCCACTGCAGTGAGAAGCCACGCACCGCAACGAAGAGTAGCCCCCACTCGTCGAAACTAGAGAATGCCCGTGCACAGCGACAAAGACCCAACACAGCCAAAAATAAATTAATTAATTAGAAAAGAAAATGCATTTTTAAAAAAGGAAAGAAGCACAGAGAAGAGGAGAAACACTAAAAGGAACCAAGGAAGACAAAAGCGATTGACCCCCTCATGAAGTACATGATGGGGTGATTGGGAGAGGGCAACCTAGATGAGTTTATCCGAGTCAAGGAGGTGAAAATGGGCAAGCTTTCGCTAAACAATGAACGGTCTGATAATTCAGTAACTCACTGACTTCATATTTCTGCCTATGCTAGCTAGACCTTCCACATCAAGATGAGAGGACTATGTTAGAAAACAAATATCTGAGCCCCAAATCAAGGGAAATTACAATAGTCCTTTGGTATCCGAGGGAGATTGGTTCCAGTACCCCCTGCAGATACCAAACTCCGTGGATGTTCAAGTCTTTTATATGAACTAGCCAGTACAGTCGACCCTCCACATCCTCGGTTCTGCATGGTTCGAGTCAACCGACTGAGGATTGAAAATCGGTTGGTGGAATAGAGGATCTCACCCACGGATATGGATTGTAATCAAGGGAAAGCACTCAGTCCTAGCAAACAGGGCTGGTTTACAGGTTTTTCAAGAAGGAAAGGGATCAATGTAAGGGTCAGGATAAGAAGTATAAACCTAAGGGAATTTTCCTGAAAGGAGACAGGGAAATGTAGCCACTGAAATGTTGGGGCTTATTTATTAAAGTGGCCAGTATGGCTTCACCAATAAAGAATCCAATGAGGAGATAGCTGTTCCTAAGCACTTGAGTCTGAGCACACTTCATTTTATTCATTGAACACTCTGCTCACTGCCAATGAAAGGGAAATGTTAGTTACATAGTATTTGTAAAGGATCTGGAAGGGAGGCAGTTTATCAGTGGGTGACTTTCACAGTTAACTACATGTTAAAGTGAAAATTCTATTCAGGGCACTTGTGTCATCCACATCACTAGACTAGACCATGGAAGAATCTGAAAGTAAAAAGCAGAGGTATATCAAACCAATCCAGGCTTATTTCAATTCATCTCTTAATAATAATACTTCATTTAAAACAGACGTCCAGGACAAACTTAAAATAGGTGGTATACCAGAACAGCAGTAGAAACCAGTTTTAGCTACTAGACACAGAATTAACAATTGCATATGGATTTATCAATGACCTGAGCAAAATAGGCTTCATTTGTAAATATGAATGGGTAACCAAAGATTCCTCCAGAGGGATACATGAAGAAGGAGGTGATGAGCTAATAAAATACCTAAAGTAAGTGAACAACAATTATTTGCCATTTAAGTTGAGGTTGAATGAAAAATATTCAAGCATTACAGTACACACTTGTCCCTCTTAGCTGCCCAATATTACACAGATTTTACAAATGTTTGATTCTTTGAGGAACTACTTTGAAAAGCAATCTAGTGCCCTACAAAGTTATTCAACTAGTTTGTGAACTAGTCTTCTATTATTTTTTGTTGCAATTTGCTCAAAATCACTTGTGAATCTTTAATCAAAGTGTTCAGTGAGTGGAACTTAAAGTTTTGAAGCCTTTAGCAAATTGGAATTCTCGAAAACATGGTGTATAAATAGGAAGTCATTGAATCTGTCACTACAAAAGTGAGGAAGGAAATGACCAAATCAAATAAGGGAGTTCAAACAGTGTACCTGATTGAAATTTTATAATTATGCTTTGTAATTTCATAACTTGTGAGAAAAATTTTTGGCTGAGCTTCCATTTGGGGGATAAATTTACATTCTGGAATGAATAGAATGAAATTGAAAAGCTCTATTATTTTGTGATATCTCTATTTTGTTTGGCAAAATATTCAAGATAATTAGAAATAGAGACAACATAGTTGATGAGTTTTGTGTTAAAAAATATTTGTCTAAGAATGACAGTCTCAATGAAATAAAAATGGACAGTATGATGAAAATATTTGGACTAAAATATTTAAATATTTCCATACATAAAAGCATAATTAAGTACATTTACTGAGCAGAATTTTCCTGAGCTTACCAAGAATCTCACCATAAGTAGAAAGAGTATTTTTCCAACAAAATATGGGCTACAGAGAAGAGTTTATCAAAGGTATCAATACATTTCAATTTATTAATAATAAGATGCAACATTGGAGACAATTACAATTTTATGAACCAACTAAAAATCATGAGAACATATTTGTAATTAAAGTCGCTGAAGGAGAGGGGAAAGACAATGTGCCAGGAAAACATTTGCAGAAATAAATGCTAAAATATTTCCAAATATGACAGAAACTATCAAGCCACAGGTCCTCAGTGCTTAAAGATACCTAAGAAGATTGAATAGAAAAAACACCATATACAATCTCATCATAGTCAAATGGCTGAAAACCAATAATAAAAAAAGCTTAAATGAAGCTAGAAGAAAAAAGGCACATTCCATAAAGAAGATCCATAAAGAAGATCAATATAACAGTGAAGGGGATAAAATATTTGCAAGTGAAGCAACTAACAAAGGATTAATCTCCAAAACATACAAACAGCTCATGAAGCTCAATATCAGAAAAAAACAACCCAATCCAAAAATGGATGAAAGACCTAGATAGACGTTTCTCCAAAGAATACAGAGTGCCAACAAACACATGAAAGGATGCTCAACATCACTAATCATTAGAGAAATGCAAATCAGAACTACGGTGAGGTATCACCTCACACAGGTCAGAATGGCCATAATCAAAAAAATGTACAAAAATACTGGAGAGGGTGTGGAGAAAGGGGAACCCTCAGGCACTGTTTGTGGGAATGTAAATTGACACAGCCACTATGGAGAACAGTATGGAGGTTCCTTAAAAAACTAAAAATAGAACTACCATATGACCCAGCAATCCCACTGCTGGGCATTTACCCAGAGAAAACCGTAATTCAAAAAGACGCATGTACCGCAATGTTCATTGCAGCACTATTTACAATAGCCAGGACATGGAAGCAACCTAAGTGTCTATCAACAGAGGAATGGAAAAAGAAATTGTGGTACATATATACAATGGAATATTACTCAGCCATAAAAAGGAATGAAATTGGGTCATTTGTAGAGACATGGATGGACCTAGAGATTGTCATACAAAGTGAAGTTAAGTCAGAAAGAGAAAAACAAATACTGTATGTTAACAGACATATGTGGAATCTAGAAAAATGGTGTCGATGATCTTATGTGCAAAACAGAAATAGAGACACAGACATAGAGAACAAACATATGGACACCAAACAGGGAAGGGGGTGGGATGAATTGGAGATTGGGATTGACATATATACACCACTGATACTATGTATAAAATACATAACTAATGAGAACCTATTGTATAGCTCAGGGAACTCTACTCAGTGCTCTGTGGTGACCTAAATGGGAAGGAAATCCAAAAAAGAGGGGATACATGTATACATATAGCTGATTCACTTTGCTGTACAGTAGAAACTAACACAACATTGTAAAGCAACTATACTCCAATAAAAATTAATTTAAAAAATATAACAGTGAAGGATGAATTCTAATCAAAGCATTGCATCAAGAAGACAATGCAATGACATTTTTTACGGGCTGAAAGAAAAACATCTTCTCAACCTAGAATTCTATATCCAGTTAAACCAGGGGTCCCCAATGCCCGGACCACAGACCAGTACAGGTCCGTGGCCTGTTAGAAACCGGGCCACACAGCAGGAGGTCAGCAGCGGGTGAGCGAGTGAAGCTTCATCTGTATTTACAGCCACTCCCCATTGCTCCCATTACTGCCCGAGCTCCACCTTCTGTCAGATCAACAGTGGCATTAGATGCTCATAGGAGCGCGAACCCTACTGTGAACTGCACATGTGAGGGATCCAGGCTGCGTGCTCCTTATGAGAATCTAATGCCTGATGACCTGAGGTGGAGCTGAGGTGGTGATGCTAGCACTAGGGAGCGGCTGCAGATATAGGTCATCATTAGCAGAGAGGTTTGACTGCACAGAGACCATCATAAATCAATTGCTTGCAGACTCATAACAAAACCCTATCAGTGAGTGGCAAGTGAAAAGAAGCTCAGGGCTCCCATTGATTCTGCATTATGGTGAGTTGTATAATTACATCATTATATATCACAATGTAATAATAATAGAAATAAAGTGCACAATAAATGTAATTTGCTTGAATCATCCCAAAACCATCCCCCACCCTCCCTGGCCCATGGAAAATTTGTCTCCCATGAAATTGGTCCCTGGTGCCAAAAAGGTTGGGGACCGCTTAAACTATTCTTAAATAATGAAGAGAAAATAAAGGTATTGTTTGATTCATGGTCAAAGAAGAAATCACAAATAAAATACGAGCTTATTTCAAAATGAACGATAATGAACACCCCTCATCTAGAAATTTGTGGATAGTTAAAAGACTAGTTAGAAGGAAATTTATCACATTAAAAGCTTTCTTAGAAAAGAATAAATCTTAAAATCAGTGACTTATCCTACCACCTTCAAAAGCTAGAAAATGAAGAGAAATTTAAACTCAAAGAATGAATAAAGAGTGTGGCAATCAAGTAGCAAATAGAGAAATAAAAGAAATCAATAAAGCCAAAAGCTGGTTCTTGGAAAAATTTAATAAAATTGATAATCCCTTGATCAAGAAATAAAAGGTACATAATACAAATTACCAATATCAAGAACTGCACAGGGGACATCACTAGACATTAAAATGGTAAGAAAATAATCAATTAGCCAATTAGCAAAATGGGCAAATTCCTTATAAAACCAAACATACCAAAATTGACCCTAGAAGAAAAAGAACATCTGAATGGCCTTCTATTTGTTAAAGAAAGTGAATCTGAAATAAAAATCCTTCCCAGAAAAGCTCCATGCCCAGAAGACTTCACTGGTGAATTCTACTGAACATTTAAGTAAGAAATGAAAGAATTATATCAACCATACATCATATATTTCAGAAAATAGAAGAGGAGGAATATATATTTACTGGCTTGTTTCCTGAGGGCAGCATAACCCTGATATAAAGACCTGAGAAAGGCATTACAAAAAAGGGAATTGTAGACCAATATGCCTCATGAACATAGGAACATATATCATTGACAAAATATTAACAAAACAAAGACAGCAATATATGAAAATAATAACATGCCACGACTAAATGTGAGTCATCCTAGGAATGCAAGGTTGGTATAATATTAAAAAATCACTCAATATAAATTGTCACATTCACAGATTAAGATAGAAAAACAGACATGATAATCTCAGTCAATGGACAGAAATTATTCGACAAAATTTAATACCCATTCATGTTAAAACATCCCAGAAAACTATATGTAGAAAAGAGCTTCCACAATCTGACAGAAGATGGCTACGAAAAACTTCCAGGTAATAATCATACTGCCTGAGATATTGACCACGTTCCTTACAAAGTTGAGAACAAGGCAATGATGTCTGCTTTCAGTACATTTTCCCACATTTTACTGGACATTTTAAGCCAGTGCAATAAGATAAGTACAAGATAAAGTTTATGTAGGGAGAAACAGAACTGTCTTTATGTGACCTTTACATAATTGCATAGATAAAAACTATTAGAGAAACTAAAAAACTCTACATGAACTAATAAATGAACCTAAAAAGATTACACAGTATAAGGCAGGTATGCCAAAACCAATTTTATTTTTATGTACTAGTAAAAAAAATGGAAAGGGGATTTAAAAAATTTACAATGATATAATAAATTAATGTACTTAGAAGTAAATCCATGTAAATCTATAAGACATGCCTGAGAGAAATTAAAGAAGATATAAAAAATGGAGAGATAAACCATGCTCACAGATTGGAAGAGTCCATACTGCTAAGATATCTATTTTCCCCAAATTGATCTGTAGATTCACCATAACCCAATCATGATCCCAATCAAAAATCCCAGATTTTTTTTTATAAATTTACAAATGATTCTAAAATTAGTATCTAAATGCAAAGAAACTAGAATAGCCAAAACAATTTGGAAAAGAGGAAAAATGTTGGATACCTTACCTAATTTCAATAATTAATAGAAAGCTTCAGTAATCAATGCAGTGTGGCATGATAGAAAAACAGATCAATGCACAAAAATAGAGCCACACATAAATTGTCGATTGATTCTCTGACAGAGGTGCCAAATTAATCCCTATGGTGAAAGGACAGTCTTTTCACTAACGCTGCTGGGACAACTGGATAACTATAATGGGAATACAATGAACCTCTATCCATACTTCCCAACAAACATGGGTCTATGAGTCATAGACCTAAATGTAAAAATAAAACTACGAGCTTTGAGAATAAAACATAGATGAATTTTTTGTAATCTTGGATTAGGCAAAAATTTCTTAGAGAGGACACAGAAAACACTAACCATTAAAAAAATGATAAATTGGATTCCAAAACTTAAAAACTTCAGTTCAGCAAAATACACCACTAAGGACATGCATAGAAAATCCCCAGACTAGGAGAATAAATAATAACCAGTTGCACTTTTACATAATAATGCATATGGGAAGTACAATGAAAATAATATTCCATTTATAGCATAACACATAAAATATCTGAATTCCAGGCATAAACTACTAATGATGAAATAAAAGGAAAAAATAACTGGAAAGTTATACTTATGCTTGATTGTATAGACCATAATAAAGATGACAACACTTCCTAATTTAGCAAAGATATTTTAATGTAAGACTAATTAATTTTTCTCAGGATATTTTAAATAACATTTTAAAATGGGATCTCCACACCAAGGAAACATCCCTTTGTCTTTAGTTTATTGACTATTCTTAATAGCACATTTTTATCAGATTGGATTGGGGCAATCAGGAATTCTATAATTGGTCTTTGATTGGCTAGTGGCTAGTCAAACTTTCAAAAAAAGGTTAAGAATACCGGAATAAAAATTAGGCCATGAGCAACTCCAAATACCATAACAAGAAACATAATCTTAAAAAATGTCCTGAAGATGTATGCTTTAGCTGCAGATAAGACACACACTCCTATTATTGTTGAAATTGCACTTTGCAACACAGGGTAGCCTAGCAGATACAATGCCTCGATGGTTTTTTGGTTTACTGAGGGCTTTGAACTGGAAACAAATGCATAGGAAATGTGCGCAGAAAAATCAAAAGAAAACCCCTATACAAATGACAAGATTACTCAAGGAATTTCGAACAGTGTTTTCTAATATTGCAGAATACTGATCAAAATATATGAACGCCTGGTTATACACCATTAGGGGAATTTCACACTTTTCAGCCATGTCTCGGAACTGGAGTAACATCAGCTTCTTATTGGTTGAAGAAGAAACACCCATGGTCTGAATGAAGGCCCGGGAACAGATGATTTCCTGTGATGATGTAATGTTAATATCATACATAAAAAGTGGAGAATCTATTACAAAATTGGGAATATTTTTTAGAAAAGTTATCATCATTTACATCGTGATGGTGGTTTTCCATATATTTCACATATTCTCGTAATCAAAACTCTGTAAGATTTTTATCTACATAGTCACTGCTTTCAAAATCTACAAGACATTTTTCCAATTTTTGCCTAGCATCTCCTTCCCAACAGTCAAGAGCTTCAGTAACAATAACCATAACCCTGGGACCATAAGTTGAAAAATGTTCTTCTTCTACATTAAAATACGGTGTGATGTAGGAGTCATCACTTGCCAAATTTCGGAGGTCTAAACCTTTCTGCACTTGGAAACACCCATATATACTACTTATGATGTACAAAATGTATATAAGCACTACAAAAACTTGGACTCAGTGCTTGTGAGAAAAGGACCAAAATAGTCTCTAAAGAACAAATTCATTGGGTGGATATCAGCTTTATGTTTGTCTCGGAGAGAATTACATGGGAGGCGGCAGGGCTTTTTTAATGAGGAACATTTTTGGTCAGGAGTTTCTGGTTTCTTCAACCAGCATAGACAAACTACTTCTCTTTTACCATCCAGGGCCATAAATGCTCCAAAACAGGTGATGTTATAAAAATAACAAAAGAGAAGAGTTGTTCCTGTATAGATGCAGAAGTATTGTACAGACCTGAAAGAGGTCATAATTCTTGTATAGAAGGCCAGGATGTTGGTGATTGTAATGGACACTGCCACTTTTGAATAGACATTGGACATGCGTTCTTTTATGCTATCCACGAGGTCGGTCTTCTGCCAGGCAGAAATCATGATAAACATGTCATCGACCCCAATGCCTGTTAAAGAAAGAAACAGAATCTTCATACATATGAACATCCATTAAACATTAAACAGATCAGTTCACACCATTTCTTTGTCCATCTCTTAAGGTCTTATTTATCTTCCTCAATCTGTGTTTTGATACTTCTTTCTGTGATGCTTTCTCTGGTTGCCTCTGAATCCACAACAGAACTTATCGCTCCTTGCTCTGTAGTAGCTCTGTGCTTTGCACGTACTCCTATTTGCACAGAGCACAGTATACTCTACTCCTAGTCATCATTTAGGGTGTTTCAATGATGAGTCAGGAAACCTGGCTGCTGGGTGTTAGGTGAAGTGGGATTAGCAATGTATCCTTGACTCCATTAGAATACTTAAGAGACCATTTTCTCCCATAAACCATTTTATTCTAGTGCACTAATGCTGAGCCAACATACTGTTGCTTAAAATATGAGCTGGATTTATCTGTTCTACAGTTAGCATCTAGCTATCAATGTGCTGATTGTAGAGGCACCCCATAGGTTATACACACACACACACACACACACACACACACACACACACACAAATGCAGTTTTCCTGCTAGTCTGTTTTTGATACCCAGAAGGCTATCATTCAAACTTCACTTGCCCAGGTTAAGGCATTATCACAATAAAATGCAGGCTCTCTTGAGATCAGAAATATGCACCAAAGTAAATATTAAGAATCCTTTACATATTAAATGCCTACTAAGGTAATCAGTCTTTTCCACAATGACGTTTCCTGATTGGTTTGGAATAAAGAGGACAGGAGAACATCTGAGGACTTTGAAACCATCAATGAAGGCTAGGAGAGGAGGACCACAGAGAAGAAATGGGACTACAAAGGACAGCATGAGCATGTTGCAGACAAATTTCGTCTGCCTCAAGCTTTCTACTGCTTTCATTCATGTACACCTCTGTTTCTGTGTACATTGATACAAAATCAGTACTTGGAACTAACATGTGGTACGAGGGCCTACACTGACACAGGTTTACGTAGTGTGTCATAAACTGCATCCTGACACTCCCCCTGCTGCCAGCTTTGTGGATTTCAGTTGTATTCAGCTGAACAAAAGGGAAGAATCAGAGGTACTAAGGACGACGAATAAACTCATTGATATTTATTAGGTATTTAAAAACCAGTTTTTTCTTTATAGAACCTTGTTCAAAAATTGTCCTCGTATATTTCTTGAGTTACTGAAATCACAACCCACACACACACACACACACACTCATACACACACACACCCCTACACTCATACTTCTATGTATACACAGACAGTACGAAGATGCTTTATATTAAATCGGTTGCATAGATTTTAACTATAGTTATTTATGACTGTGGGAACACTGAGAGCTTTCTTATATTTTAAGTGTGAGCGTGTACTAGGAAGGTTTCCTCCACTGTCTCCCCTAAGAAATCAAATATTATTTCTTCCAAGTTGCTTACTTTCCAAAATATAAACATATTTATCTTCTCATGCTTATTGTAAAATAAATCCTGAAAGTACAGGAAAATGCAAAGAAAAAATTTAAACAACTGTAATTCCACCCTTTGGGGATAATCCTTCCTAATATTTTAAGTATAGCCATCCAGAATTTGCTCTATACAAATATACACATATATTTGTATATCTATTTTAAACATCTTGTTTCATAGCCAGCATTTTTCATTTAACACTTTATATCTACCTCTTTTTAAAGAGTGAATAGGATTCCAAAACTTTAATATGCTATGTTTGAGTGGATCGATCCCATGTCGATATGGGATTAGGTTGTTCTTGTTTTTTCCTATTCTAAATCACACTGAAATGAAATACACGTTCTACTTTGTGAGCACTTGTCCAATAATTAGGACAAACTCCTAGAAGTGGAGTTGGCAGGTCAAAGGTATTCCCTTTTAAATTTTTAACTCTTTTGATCTGTTGCAAAGTTGTATTTTAAAAGTGCACCAATTTACAAACTTCCCCCAGCAGAACATGAGTGTTCATTTGCATACAACATTCCCCAAACCTTTAATCTTGCTAATGTTCATTAATAAGAAAAGAAAACAAAGATGTCTCACTTTTGTTTTAACTTGCATCCCTTGATTTACTGAAAGGTCAAATATTTTTTCTTATATTTTCAGTGACTAGTATTTTGGATTTTGTGTGTTTGGGTGTGTGTGTGTGTGTGTGTGTGTGTGTGAACTGCCTGTTCATGTCCCTGGTCTGTGTTTTTCCATTTGGGGTACTAGATTTTTCTAACTCTAAAGACTCAGAATTCCGTCTGATTTTCTTCTTTCCTGATGCCCCATTTTGGATCTGTAGAGCCACCTAAATATAATTATTCTGCTTAATCTAACACAGTCTCCTTCCATTATCCACCCCACACCCCCACATACACAATGTGCAGCCTCACGTTTTGTTTTACTCACCTAGAATAAGAAATGCTGAATTTGCAACTATGATCACAAATGGCAACCCAATGTACAACATCAGGCCAAAGCCACTCACCACTGCCAAGGCAGCAGAAATCACTCCAAAGGCTGCAACCCACATTTTGTTTCATATACAGTCACACCTGTAAATTTGGAGGGAAAAATCATGGAACTTGTAGTGGTAGCTTCCATACTGAAATTCCAGCAATTCATAACATTCTTGAATTGGACACCTATACAGAGCCCTCTTGGGCAATAATTCTCATACCTGTCTGCTGGAGAACTTTAATTTCCAGGCACTAGCCCAGACCAACTGAAAAAAAAAAAGGGAGTTTGGAGACAGAAAAGTTGGGAATCTGTACTTTTACCAAACTATACTGGTTGATTCTTACACATCTAGCCAAGCACAAATCCACTGACTGGCATTTCAGGACCACAAAGATATACTAAAACACTGCAGATGGTTAATTCCACTCTGATCTTCAAAGGAGTGTGAATGGAACACAACAGCAAATGGAAGTACCTATATCCAGTTGTCTTCTCACCCACCTGTGACTCCAGTTAGCCCTAAACATGATCCTAAATAGCTCCTGTATTTCAAAGCTGGTTCAATATGTATCTGGCTAACAAAAAGTATGAAAGCCTCCTTCTAGAAGCAAAAAGAACTACAGCCTGTGGAACAAAAACCACATTCACAGAAAGATAGACAAGACGAAAAGGCAGAGGGCTATGTACCAGATGAAGGAACAAGATAAAACCCCAGAAAAACAACTAAATGAAGTGGAGGTAGGCAACCTTCCAGAAAAAGAATTCAGAATAATGATAGTGAAGATGATCCAGGACCTCAGAAAAAGAATGGAGGAAAAGATCGAGAAGATACAAGAAATGTTTAACAAAGACCTAGAAGAATTAAAGAACAAACAAACAGAGATGAACAATACAATAACTGAAATGAAAACTACACCAGAAGGAATCAATAGCAGAATAACTGAGGCAGAAGAACGGATAAGTGACCTGGAAGACAGAATGGTGGAATTCACTGCCACAGAACGGAATAAAGAAAAAAGAATGAAAAGAAATGAAGACAGCCTAAGAGACCTCTGGGAAAACATTAAACACAACAACATTCGCATTATAGGGGTCCCAGAAGGAGAAGAGAGAGAGAAACGACTCAAGAAAATATTTGAAGGGATTATACTCGAAAACTTCCCTAACATGGGAAATGAAATACCACCCAAGTCCAGGAAGTGCAGCAAGTCCCATACAGGATAAACCCAAGGAGAAACACTGTGAGACACATAGTAATCAAATTGGCAAAAATTAAAGACAAAGAAAAATTATTGAAAGCAGCAAGGGAAAAATGACAAATAATATACAAGAGAACTCCCATAAGGTTAACAGCTGATTTCTCAGCAGAAACTCTACAAGCCAGAATGGAGTGGCATGATATACTTAAAGTGATGAAAGGGAAGAATCTACAGCCAAGATGACTCTACCCAGCAAGGATCTCATTCAGATTCTATGGAGAAATCAAAGCTTTACAGACAAGCAAAAGCTAAGAGAATTCAGCACCACCAAACCAGCTCTACAACAAATGCTAAAGGAACTTCTCTAAGTGGGAAACACAAGAGAATAAAGGGACCTACAAAAACAAACCCAAAACAATTAAGAAAATGGTCATAGGAGCACACATATCGATAATTACCTTAAACGTCAATGGATTAAATGCTCCAACCAAAAGACACAGACTGGATGAATGGATACAAAAACAAGACCCATATACATGCTGTCGACAAGAGACCCACTTCAGACGTAGGGACACATACAGACTGAAAGTGAGGGGGTGGAAAAAGATATTCCATGCAAATGGAAATCAAAAGAAAGCTGAAGTAGCAATATGCATATCAGATAAAATAGACTTTAAAATAAAGACTGTTACAAGAGACAAGGAAGGACACTACATAATGATCAAGGGATCAATCCAAGAAGAAGATATAACAATTATAAATATATATGCACCCAACATAGGAGCACCTCAATGCATGAGGCACCTGTTAACAGCTCTAAAAGAAGATATCGACACTAACACAATAATAGTGGGGGACTTTAACACCTCACTTACACCAATGGACAGATCATCCAAGATGAAAATTAATAAGGAAACATAAGCTTTAAATGACACAACAGACCAGATAGATTTAATTGATATTTATAGGACATTCCATCCAAAAACATCAGATTACACTTTCTTCTCAAGTGTGCACGGAACACTCTCCAGGATAGATCACATCTTGGGTCACAAATCAAGCCTCAGTAAATTTAAGAAAATTGAAATCATATCAAGCATCTTTTCTGACCACAATGCTATGAGATTAGAAATGAATTACAGGGGAAAAATGTAAAAAACACAAACGCATGGAGGCTAAACACTATGTTACTAAATAACCAAGAGATCACTGAAGAAATCAAAGAGGAAATCAAAAACTACCTAGACACAAATGACAATGAAAACATGACAATCTAAAAGCTATGGGATACAGCAAAAGCAGTTCTAAGAGGGAAGTTTATACCTATACAAGCCTACCTCAAGAAATAAGAAAAATCTCAAATAATCTAACCTTACACATAAAGGAACTAGAGAAAGAAGAACAAACAAAACCCAAAGTTAGCAGAAGGAAATCATAAATATCAGAGCAGAAATAACTGAAATAGAAACAAAGAAAACAATAGCAAGGATCAATAAAACTAAAAGCTGGTTCTTTGAGAAGGTAAATAAAATTGATAAACCATTAGCCAGACTCATCAAGAAAAAGAGGGAGAGGACTCAAATCAATAAAATTAGAAATGAAAAAGGAGAAGTTACAACAGACACCGCAGAAATACAAAGCATCCTAAGAGACTACTACAAGCAACTCTACGTCAATAAAATGGACAACCTGGAAGAAATGGACAAATTCTTAGAAAGGTATTATCTTCCAAGACTGAACCAGGAACAAATAGAAAATATGAACAGACCAATCACAAGTAATGAAATTGAAACTGTGATTAAAAACCTTCCAACAGGGGCTTCCCTGGTGGCACAGTGGTTGAGAGTCCGCCTGCCGATGCAGGGGACATGGGTTCGTGCCCTGGTCTGGGAAGATCCCACATGCCATGGAGCAGCTGGGCCCGTGAGCCATGGCTGCTGAGCCTGCGCGTCCGGAGCCTGTGCTCCACAACGGGAGAGGCCACAACAGTGAGAGGCCCGTGTACTGCAAAAAAAAAAAAAAAAAAATCTTCCAATAAACAAAAGTACAGGACCAGATGGCTTTACAGGTGAATTCTATCAAACGTTTAGAGAAGAGCTAACACCCATCCTTCTCAAACTCTTCCAAAAAATTGCAGAGGAAGGAACACTCCCAAACTCATTCTATGAGGCCACCATCACCCTGATACCAAAACCAGACAAAGATACTACAAAAAAATTACAGGCCAATATCACTCATGAATATAGATGCAAAAATCCTCAACAAAATACTAGGAAACAGAATCCAACAACACATTAAAAGGAGCATACACCATGATCAAATGGGATTTACCCCAGGGATGCAAGGATTCTTCAATATATGCAAATCAATCAATGTTGATACACCATATTAACAAATTGAAGAAGAAAAATCATATGATCATCTCAATAGATGCAGAAAAATCTTTTGACAAAATCCAACACCCATTTATGATAAAAACTCTCCAGAAAGTTGGCATAGAGGGAACCTACCTCAACATATTAAAGGCCACAGCAAACATCATTCTCAATGGTGAAAAACTGAAAGCATTTCCTCTAAGATCAGGAGCAAGACAAGGATGTCCACTCTCACCACTATTATTCAACATAGTTTTGGAAGTCCTAGCCACAGCAATCAAAGAAGAAAAAGAAATAAAAGGAATACAAATTGGAAAAGAAGAAGTAAAACTCTCACTGTTTGCAGATGACATGATACTATACATAGAGAATCCTAAAGATGCCACCAGAAAATTACTAGAGCTAAGCAATGAATTTGGTAAAGTTGCAGGATACAAAATTAATGCACAGAAATCTATTGCATTCCTATACACTAATGATGAAAAATCTGAAAGAGAAATTAAGGAAACACTCCCATTTACCAATGCAACAAAAAGAATAAAATACCTAGGAATAAACCTACCTAGGGAGACAAAAGACCAGTATGCAGAAAACTATAAGACACTGATAAAGAAATTAAAGATAAAACAAACAGATGGAGAGATATGCCATGTTCTTGGATTGGAAGAATCAATATACTGAAAATGACTCTACTACCCAAAGCGATCTACAGATTCAATGCAATCCCTTTCAAATTACCAATGGCAATTTTTACAGAACTAGAACAAAAAATCTTAAAATTTGTATGGAGACACAAAAGACCCCAAATAGCCAAAGCAATCTTGAGGGAAAAAAACGGAGCTGGAGGTATCAGGCTCTCAGACTTCAGACTATACTACAAAGCTACAGTAATCAAGACAATATGGTACTGGCACAAAAACAGAGAGATAGATCAATGGAACAGGATAGAAAGCCCAGAGATAAACCCACGCACATACAGTCACCTTATCTTTGATAAAGGAGGCAGGAATGTACAGTGGAGAAAGGACAGCCTCTTCAATAAGTGGTGCTGGGAAAACTGGACAGGTACATGTAAAAGTATGAGATTAGATCACTCCCTAACACCACACACAAAAATAAGCTCAAAATGGATTAAAGACCTAGATGTAAGGCCAGACACTATCAAACTCTTAGAGGAAAACATAGGCAGAACACTCTATGACATAAATCACAGCAAGATCCTTTTTGACCCACCTCCTAGAGAAATGGAAATAAAAATAAAAATAAACAAATGGGACCTAATGAAACTTCAAAGCTTTTGCACAGCAAAGGAAACCATAAACAAGACGAAAAGACAACCCTCAGAATGGCAGAAAGTATTCACAAACGAATCAACGGACAAAGGATTAATCTCCAAAATATATAAACAGCTCATGCAGCTCAATATTAAAGAAACAAACTACCCAATCCAAAAATGGGCAGAAGACCTAAATTGACATTTCTCCAAAGAAGACATACAGATGGCCAAGAGGCACATGAAAA